AAAATCCATAATTAGTGGTATTTTTGCAAATGGACACCCCTACATGGCATTCTTGCAAATGTATACACCAAAAGTACATTTTTGCAATTGCTCCAAGAATTAAATCACTTCTTCATTGTTGTAAAAAATTTGTGTTCGTTTACAAAAAATCAAATCATAATGTGTGCGGAAAAAAATCTATGTTTTTTTAATATATTTAAGAATTTGAAAATTTTTATTTTTAAGAAGATGAAAAAGAAATAAGATGAAATGGGAGAAAAAAAATCTTAAAACAAAAAGAAAGAAAAAATATATGGTTATGGTTTGTTGAGGGCACTTATCTTAATAATATATATGATATACAACATATTTTTAGCCAAGCTCTTAATATGGTCATTTGACCAATTATAATTTTTTTTTTGTTTGTCATCCATGCTAATTTTCCTAGCATAATTTCATATCTTTATTTATCTTTTTTTTTTAATGTTGAGTATCAATTTTATTAAACCGAAAACTAATATGAAAAAAATTACAAAAATTCAAATGAAACTCCAATAGATGCTATACAAACGAAGATCAAAGTGAAGAACAAAGTTTTAGGTACGAGACTATGAAAAATCTTAACACCTTAAGATGATAAGTACTATCATTATCCTGATATCATAACTTGATCATCATATGCTCTTATGTCTATTAGCAAACTCTGCCTTCATAAGAGCATAAAGCCACAAAGGTCTTTCACAAGCAACGCTTTTGGTGCACTGGTTGCGAGAAGAAGGGAACAAACACAATGCTCCAAGCTTCCGATATAACTTCTCTTTTAGGGCTGGTAATTATTACTTCTTTCAAAAGATGTAGACAACACATCAAATATCATAATGCAAACTTTCCGTTGGGTCAAAACACAAAACAACCGAACCTCATCCAATAGGAGAGGAAACAAAGGCAAATGTGTAACCAACAATATTGACTAAATTCCCGATGATCAAAACAACTCGAAGTGGACACAAGAAGATCGAACTTTGACTAGAAAATTCTTATATTGCAAAGTAGTACTACCTCCCGAAGTAAAGATTTCTAAGCTACTATTCCCTTGATAATCTAAAATCGATACCTCTTCCGACGAAAACAAAAAAAATGACAAGTTGACCAGACAGACGAAACAAAACCAAACTGCAGATACCTGCGAGCAAATAATCGAACTGAGAGAGGGAAGAGTCGCAACACCGGTGAAAATTCATATTCAAAAGTAGATCTGAATAAGACCTAAATGAACAGAGAGGCGTTTTCCGCTTCCACCGCGAGCAGCACTGTCGTCCCAACCGAGACCTGCGCCATCTCTTCTTTCAGATCAATCGCCGGCAATGACACGACTCCTCCACCACGAAAAAAATGGGGAAACCCCAAGAGATTGAAGGTGTGGATCCGAAACACTACAAACATGAAGAAGAAAAAGACGAGGAGACCGGCGACGGTGCTATGGAAACCACCGGTAGCCAGTCCGACACCGATCACGAACGCAGAGAAGTTTTTCTATCTCCATTGATCAAGTTGACTAAAATTAAAGATTCTTGCCCTTGTGACGAACACAAAAAATAGATTCTTCCCCTCCCAAAAAAAAATCGTAATTTCCTTTGATTTACTCATTACCCCTTCCTTTTAAATAGCCTTTACATAGTCTTCATAGAATCGATTCCAAATTTAAACTTAATTTCCCTGCCTCTCTTATATAAGCTATATTAAAAAAAAAAAACAACTTTCTTCAATAAATACTCCCTCTTTTTCAAATTTTTAATATAATTTGATCCTTTTTCTTAAAATGGTTGAAGAAATATTGTCTAAAGCATTTTTGGTTGTTGTTGCCACCGTATTTGCAGCGGCTACGGTGGTTCACGGCCAAGAAGTGCCGTGCTTCTTCATCTTCGGAGACTCAACTTTCGATAGTGGCAACAATAATAACTTAAATTCCAAAGCAAAAGTCAACTTTCCACCTTATGGTATTGACTTTCCCAAAGGCCCGACCGGCCGGTTTACCAATGGCCGCACAATCCCAGATATTATCGGTTAGTCTTTAAATCCTTTCCGATTAATTTCCTTGCGTAAGTCAATCTATCTATAAGAGATTTTTAGAAAAGAAATAATAATGAATAAACAAAGACAATTAGCTTATGTACTATCAAATCAAGGGTTTGAAATAACAAATATATTAGAATAAAAAAATTGATTATGATTTTTGCGTG